TGGTGTCCCCCGCCTTGATATTGCTGGAATATTGCTAAAAGCGGCATAAAACCAAACTCAGTCAGTCGGTCAGACGGAGGTCCTTTGTGCACAGCTCACTGTTATGAGGCCATGAGGTGAATAAATCACAAAAAGCTGTAACAGGCATGACTCTTGAAAGTTTCATAGAAGATACAGTGCTTGACTTGACAAGAAGTTGTATGTAAGGGTGTCTCATGGTATTGACCAAGCCAAGCACATTATACAAGTGACCGGCAGCAGCAGAAAATGTAGGGACGAGCGTGGTCTGTCTGTATTGTCTGCAATCTGACTTAAAAACTCAGAAACTTGAGCCGATTGTGAAGGAGGGAAATTATAGCTTCTCACCTTCTCATCATACTATTGTAGGATTTACGAGTTCCAACAACTAAGAATAAAGGTAACTGCTCTTTGGACCTATCGGAGCACTGATAATTAGTAAGAGAAGTCTGCCAAAACTCTCCAGGCATATATTTTCCATCCCTTGTTCTTCATCGGTTCTGGACATGAGCCCATTGACCGGATTGCCGACGGGTAGTTCGGTATGCATGCAGAGGGGGTGGGGGGTATATAGCCTAGTGGTTAAAGCGTTGGCTCGCCATGCCGAAGACCCGGGTTCGAATCCCCACATGGGTACAATGTGTGAAGCCCATTTCTGGTGTCCCCCGCCGTGATGTTGCTGGAATATTGCTAAAAGCGGCGTAAAACCAAACTCAGTCAGTCAGTCAGTCAGTCAGTATGCGCAGCGGCGTGACCACCAACATTGACTTTAGTAGGCTGAACAAGGGTTGGCCTGTCCATCGAGGGGCTATGATTGTAGCGTAGGCTCTGGTGTCTTTTACTTTTCTGAGTGTTTGTTGAAGAAGACAAAATGGGGGGTTGACATAATTGTTTCCTGTGGACCAATCTACTTGGGAGAGAGCATCTCTACCTTCTGTATAAGGTTCCCAAAAACGGCTGTTGAAGCGAACCAGCTGAGAGTTTGCTACACTGGCGAGGCGATCCACCGTGTGAGGTCCCCATATTCTGTTGAGATAGTTGAATACTTTGGGGTTGAGCATCCAGTTGTGAAAGTCTCTCTGTCGTGATAGGTAATCTGCATGTTGATTATCTACTCCGGCTATATGACTTATCCAAGCTCCAATGTCTGTAGCCTCTGCCCATATTACCTTTGCAATCGATGTTAATTGAGCTGAAGGTCCCCCTTTGTAGTTGATATAAGCCAGAGCTGTTGAGTTGTCAGTTATTATCTTGACATTGAAACCCCGAATAAAGTTTTTGAAAGCTAAGATCACCATTAAAATGGCTAAAAGTTCTCTGTGATTGGACGACTTTGCAGAAATTCTCAAATTCCAGTTTCCAGAGGCTTGTTGATTGTTCACAGTACCGCCCCATCCTGTCTTAGAAGTGTCAGTAACAATCTGAACATCAAATGATTGTTTGCAAAGTTCTTTGCCGTTAAAAGCATCAATAGATGCCAAACACCAGTTCAGTTCTCCTATAGCACTACTCATAAAGGTGAGGACAGAATCCCATGAATCTCTGGTACTTAATTTCTTATTTATCACTGCACACAAGAATAGTTTACCTGGGCCTACAACCCATGCTACTGAAACACACTGACCACATACTTTAGCTATGCTACGAGCTGTAACTGATTTCACGTGAAGAAGTCTTCTCAAGTCTATCTTTATGCGTTGCACTCTGCATCTCTTGGCTTTGATAACTACATATCCAGAGCTAGTGACATTGTGAATGGTATAACCAATGTAGTCAACAGAGTGATCAGGCTCAAGCTTGCTCTTTTCAAAATTGATTTCAATCCCTAAATCCTCAAGGGAGTGGATTATCAGATCCTTGTGGTCACTAATAAAGAAACTGCTTGACATGAGTAGAAAGTCATCAACATACACAACCACTCTCAAGCCTAGAGAGCGTAAATATGCTACTTATGGTCTTAAAGTCTTATTAAAGTAGTAAGTGCTGCATGACAAACCAAACGGAAGTACACACCACCTATAACATACACCCTTCCACAGAAATGCTAAGTAATTGCTATCATCGGGATGAACAGGGATATGGTAGAAACCGTTCTTGACATCTAACGATATGAGTAAGTCATTTGGTTCAATTACATCTGTCACAGTTCTAATGTGTTTATTTCTGTAAGCAGGTGAACAGCAAAAAGAGTTCAAATATCTAAGATTATGAATTAAACGTAACTTTCTCTTCTTGGGTACACAACACATGGGAGAAATGTAATCAAAATCATCACAATGACAACAGAGATTTAACTTCAGAATCAATAAATTCACATTCCATAGCAGAGTGTTCATCCTGCAAATATTTAATATGCGCTTTTGAAATCACAAACAGTGCGTTCATATCGTCGGGAGAAAGTCCGGATTCGCCGACGCCTGCTAGCACTTTCAAACATGTCTCGACATAGCGCACTGATCGACATAGAGCTTTATGATGAGATCTGTCACTTGCCTTTACGTCCCTCATGGTTTCATTAAGTCTGAGGTCAGAGGGTAACCTTATTCTTTGCAAACTGTCCTTTACTGATACGAACTCGCCTTGTACGTCAACGTCTACAGGATCCGGCATTGGATGAGCGGGTTGACTGGTGACGTCAGGCCTCTCTGGATCAGTTTGTTGACCCTCAGGAGCAGCGGCGCTGTTCTGTAGGTCACCAGTACGCCTCTCTCAGTGGTCCTGGCATCCCAAAACATGATCGATCGTTGAACACAGATCAGCAATTATCGAAACGCCGGTTAAACTCGGTGTTTTATTCTCATCTGACATTTGGCGTCGGCTTGCAGGAATGTACTGAGCATGACTGATACACTTGCGACACCTGTTGCTAGATGTCACATGACTGGTCATTTGATTACAGAGAAATGCATTGAATCGTACTAGATTGAGATAGATTGTGTACAATGTGACACAGTGCAGGGGATCTTAATGTTAGGGTAATAGATCATGACAGATCTTTATAGAATAGCAATAGATCTTGGTAGCATCATGGGACAATGGGAACTTACATCTTATATTAAAAGTGGAGTAAAACTAAACTCACACTCTCACTCAATCATGAGGGTCCACTTTTTGCCCATACCAGGGTATTTAGCACCAGTTTCACTTTATTCTCATCAATCACGATCTGATGATCATCTTGACCATCCATGGACCCTAATACCAACATTATTGACACGTTGAAAGTCATATTTGACAATTAAATGCCAATATATATTTTGGGGGGGTCGATCAGATTATCATGTTCCAAGTTAAGTCAAACTGTCTCATATGTAGAATCCAAAGTACCAAAATGCTACGCTTATGTTTATTTTTCTGTGAAATATGTACGTCGAATTGTTTTTTGTCATAACACATTATAAGGATATATTATCCCTGTTAAAATAATTTTTTATGATATCAATTTATCTGATTATGGAATAGGAATTCTTTGAAGTTATAATATTGGATCGTTTTTAACTGAATCACTGGTAGATTGGAGCAAAACATGTTTACAGCTCATTGTTGTCCAAGGCCAAAGTTTCCCCGCGGAAGGTTTGGCCAGGGTGAAAGTTTGGCCTGTTACACCGCCACCCCACGGGACCGAAATAGAATGCCGGTTTTGACAGGGAAGATCATTTTCCAACATGGCTGCCATTTACACTCATCAATGTCTTTATCTCTATAATGCCTTTGATCTTTTGTAATTGTGCAACAAGTGCCCAGAGGAGTGTAATTGATTAAGGGACCTTGATTGGACTGCTCATGCCCATGCTGGCTTAGAGCGTTTGGTTCACCACACAATCACTACTTTCAAACTAAATGTATTCAGAAACAAGAACATGCTTTTTTAGACTATGGGGAATTGGTGAATCATAACCAGGAGGTCTCAGATCATGGACCTTTTAAGCAGTCTGGGAGAAGAAACAGTTCCCTCCCTAACAGACTGTAGGTCCATTGTTCTTTGGACTAAAGTCAAACGAGTTCATGTTCTGGATTTGAGAGGATGGGTGCTAATATTTGTCCACACTCAATACAGAATAGTAATTGTCAATACACCTACAAGGGACGTCTTTTAGATGATGAGTTTCCTCTGGAAAACGTAAAGAAAACTTTTGAAGCTAACTTTGGCCCAGAAATAGGAGTACAAATAGGTCCAATTGAAGACATATGACTTTGCAGTATGATGCATGGCAGCAAAGTTTGGAAGCCTTTAAGTTAAAGGTTTGGTCTGAGTAGATTTGGACAGAAAAGTACTGAGAAAAATAGTGAAAACCATGGCCAAAACCTAAAATCCAATGTGGCTGCCAAATGATGCATTTAGCGGCTTGACATGACGAGAAAAATTGTTCGGAGTGTGATACTGCACCTGCATGAGAATTTTGAAGACCTCAGACTGTTAGCTTTGGAGCCATGAGCTGGCAAAAGTGGTTTGAATTGATCTTGAACCATCTGGCCTTAGTCTTTGAAACTGGAACCTTTAGAATTTTGTTGTGAACTGCTTGAGGATCAGTGGCACTCTGGCAAAGTGACCTAAGAGCTTCTGGACACTGGTACTTGAGTACAACATCATGTGATTGCCACCCAAAATACTTGAATATAATATAATAATTGGATAATAATGGAGGCATAGAGTCCCAATTACTCCATGTGCATGTCATCCACTCTACCATGTGAACATGCATACCTTTAATTTTATGTAATTGTTTGATAAAAATGTTAACATTGTGCTGACTCAAAAGCGATTGCCTTGGCATACAGTTCATTATTCAAGTGTTATAAAATTATCTCCTGAAGTTTTTATGAAAAATGCTTGCAGGATCATTGATGTATGTTTTGGTATACATACTTACATATACTCTGATTATATGCTATCATATTCTTGTTTCAAAATTTCAGTTAACTTCTAGGCAGTGTGATCTCATTTGTTTTTCAATATCTCATGCATACCTGTTTAATTTCAGCTTATAAAGAAGCAACCAAGTGCTTTAGGTGCCAGACGATGGTAAGATATGTCATGCAGTACATTAAAGATTTCAAATTGTCCGTTTGATAAATTTATGAAACCATTGCACTCTGTATAACAAATGTTATATTTGGGATTACACTCTCTCAGTAAAGTACAGATTCTAGTACTTTTGTTGGGTTGAGTCCTATCCAGGATTCGAACCCACACCTTCAGTGTCAGGCATACTTTACTGAGAAAATGTAATCCCCAAAATAACATTTGTTACATTGGACCACTTTCTAATAAGCGTACCTTACCTTTGAACCAAAGTGTCATCGCAACATTTGTCCATGCTTATCTGTCTATCATCTGGAACTGATGAAAATTATGTTGAGTTTCATAGCAAGCCAAGCATACATTGAACTGAAATATTGCCTGGTGCATTACAGTTTTTATACATAGTCCACATGCAGTTCAATGCACTTTTTTATATAACCCTTTTGGGGGTTAAAGAGGCACTGATACCGTATATATGTCTTCAACCAGGCAGTATTAGCTCTGCCACCCAGCTGTCATTAGCTGCCTTGAGATTTGGTACCAGATGCATTTGAGTGTGACATGCTTGTTGTTTAACACCACACCCGGCAATATTCCAGCTAACAGGCGGTGCGTGACATGAGACAGGGCTTCTATCTGTAAGGACAGCAGACAAGAACTTTAAGACGATGTATATACTCATATCATATCGATTGTTTATTGATTTCTTCAACCTAAACAACCAGACAAAATGAACAATGGTTCCAGTTTGATTTTAACACATTGACTGCCACCACAAGTATACTCGTAGTGTCAATGTCTGACCCAATTTGCCACTACGAGTTATTTTGTAGCTGTATCTGTGGTATTTTAAGACAAATTTCACATGTTGGCAAACAGGCACAGAAGCAATCGTCTGGCAGTAAGAAAGAATGCCAGGAGACATTTGTTTCTTGCGTCTATTTTGCCAACATGTGAAACTTGTTTTAGAATACCACTGATGTAGGTATGAGATAACTCGATAACAAACAGCGATCAAAGGATTAAACCTATAACATGCTGATTGATTAATTACTTTTATCGTGCACACCAGATTTGTTGATTTGTTGTTAAACGAATAACAAAAGCAACAATCAGTCCTTGGGAATTGCACTGGATTAGTGTCCCTTTATTCATGTCATGTAATAATGTCATGTGAATTGACCTATGATATTTAAAACACACATTTGATTTATTTGAAGCCACGAACTAAATCAGCCCCATTTTGCAATTGCTATAATTTAAAAATCCACAAAGGTAAATATGTGTATATACAATGTTTAACTTTTGTACAAAGCAAATGTGTGTGCATATTATTGCCGCAGCTATGCAGTTCCATTCTTATCAAACAATAATCACACTTCAGTTTTTCAAATTGTACATACAATATAATAATGACTACTCCTTTGTTGTCATCTACGTTTGGTGATATAAACATACACCTGTTTATTTGTCATCATTCTCTTGATGCTTAGTGAATGACTTTCAGTACCTGACCGAGGTTCCTATTTGCCATTTCTTGTGTGAAGGGTAATTACTCAAACTTACAAATTCAGCAATTTATGTGGCAAATGTATTATTTGGCCTGTAATGTGCACATAGTGATTGAGTGAGTTAGTTTAGTTTTTCACCGCCCTCAGAAATATTCCAGCTATATGACGGCGGTCTGTAAATAATCAAGCCTGGGTCAGATAATCCAGTGATCAACATCATGAGCATTGTTCTATGCAACAGGGATACGGTGACATGTGTAAACCAAGTCAGAGAGCCTGACCACCAGATCGCCTCTTATGACAAGGAAGGGTTACAGAAGATCAATTCTAACTAGGATCTTCACAGGTTAATATGCCCACAGAAGCACAACAAGAGACAATTATCAGTTGCTTGCTTATCAGTCCTCCATAAGACAACTTATAAAAGATAATAATTTTTCCTTATCCTGACTCATGCTTACTATTTGTCTCCCTTTCCTTCCGAATGCTAGTGGAACACTTGAATCCCCTTTTTGAAGCTCCCTTCAAAAAAGCAGACATGAAATCACATACCAGGAGTCACCTCCCTTCCCAGGTTTTGGCGGGAAATGGCGCCACCTGTCTCCCATGTTCTCTCCTGATTCGCCCGAGTGGGCGGTTGTGAGAGCACCCGGTCCCCTATACGGCATTATATCCTTTTATTATTTAGGCCTTCTTCTAAATTAGCTGTATAAGGCTTTAGTTAATGTTTACCTACTATATTCTATGGAATTAATTCTCAAATTTCTCTGTTTTATCACATTTTTACGTGATTACTCACATTGTTTACAATTGTTGAAATCTTGTTCTGGTTGTAGGTATCGATTGTCTGCTGTTGATATACATAACCTAGGTCCTAATTGCAAGCCTGTATGTTATCTGACACTCGTTGTCAGTTGTGTTTTCACCTGTCTGATATTGCATTTTACAAATATTCATATTATCTGTCTAGACATGCAAAGGACAGGTCCAGAAGAGACCGGCTAAGCTTGCAGAGGACCGGCAGTTGGTGTCTGCGCAGATGCACCATTCCAGTGGTCTACCGGAGTCGTCTACGGAGGAGGTTGCCGCCATAGACAACGCTGGCTCGAGGAAGAGATCATCTACATCTGATACTTCCTCTTCGCAGTCTAAGAAGACTAGGGCATCATCTTCCCAGAGGAAGAAGTCAGCTACAACTAAGACTTCGTCGAAGTCTCCACATGGGGCAACACAGAAAACGAGGTCCTTTTCACCTGAGGTCGTCCCTCTGGAAGAAGTAGATGTCTACGATGAGCCGCCCATCCTCATCCCTGAGATCACATCTAAGAAGAAGACGAAGACGTCTTCTACAGTGACCACGCAGGACAACCTTTCAACGCAGACGTTCGGCACGAAGGATCAACGCCCTTCGGAAGAAGCCTCATCCGTCTCAGATGCGTCGTCAGTACAACAGACAACGCAGACCTTCAACCCGGGCGCCTTTATGCAGCAATTTACCCAACAGATGTTGGATCTGATGGAACAACGGTTTGCACGCGAGAGAGCTGCGACGAAGACGACGTCTGCGACGAACCCGAGTGAAGGTCAACGGAGCTGCACACCACGTCCGTTGGGAACCAACGTCCTGCAGAGCCTACAGGAAGATTCCAGCTCGACTACAGCGTCCGCACAAACATCTGGCAGCCATACCAACGTGGAACCTGCACCGACTACGTTCGGCGGAAGGACTAGACTTTCGCCGAACGCACGTAAATCACCATCGATGTCAGATACGGACGTTCGTCACAAACCTGCATGCAAGCATGACTACAACGTCCGCACAGAGGTCTGGCAGTCCTACCAATGTAGAGCCTACACCAGTTACGTTCGGCCGAACCCACATAGATTGTCATCTACCTCAGATGCGGACATTCGTCACGAACCTGCACGCAAGCATGACTACAACGTCCGCACGAAGGTCTGGCAGTCCTACCAATGTAGAGCCTACACCAGTTACGTTCGACCGAACCCACGCAGATTGTCATCTACCTCAGATGCGCACATTCGTCACGAACCCGCAAGAGAATCTACACCCGTGCGAAGGCACAGAGATTCGTCACAAGACTCCAACCCTCGACAGAGCTGTTCACCTACAACGCAGGTTCGCGCGAACGTATGGTTCGCCACGAAGCTCACCACGCAGGTCTCCATACAGATCACCACGCAGATCACCATACAGATCACCTTAAAGGTCTCCAGACACTAGGAGACATCTATCCTCAGAGCATGATACTGCTAAATCGGAAGATGATGGCGGAATTATTAAAAAAAAATTCCGACTCTGAAATCAAGTCATGGATGGCCAACGGTTTGGAACTCGCATCACCCTCTTAGGAGGCTAATGGAGCACTCTCGTACTTGATGTTGAATGATGATATAGACACACTCACGATTCCACCTATCAACCCTGTCTCACAGTTAGACACAGTAACCAGACGAACCTTCTTCGACCTAGCCAGGTCAAGAGCTATCAATGAGACCCTCATCTCGATCATGCAGATCTTCAGGCAGGTCTTCAGGCAGATCTTCAGACTGATCTCCAGAAAGGATTCAGGGTCTTCAAAAAAGATATATCTACATCAGAAGAGGGTAGCGGGATTAACTGCACAAAAACTCTCCTCGAAGCTGAGAACCTACACATTCATGAAGGTTAAAGATGTTTCTTAAGAATCCAGGAGGGACTCATGTCCATATACAGATAATTTACCTACGGGCAGATCTTCAGGCAGTCAAGTCGTCGCGGTTCAGAGCTAACGACTTGATAGATACTACCGGAGAATTTCAGCACAGCCTTGGTAAGGCTATGAAGTTCCACAGTCAAAAACATATCCCCGACGTCCAAGCCAGGGATTTCCCACTACTTCACACAGAACCCTTCATGAAAGGCTCCAGAAATTGATGTGAACTGCAAGATCATCAACGACTCCCGTTGTAGATCTTACACTGAAGTTGCAAGTATCAACTCTACAAACACCTTTGTGTATTCAACACAAAGGGGGTATTTTACGACGCTTCATTGAGACCGATGAATACAGTCTACAAGTAACAGCGTTAAGCAAGTATGGAATTTCAGCTAATCATCTGTATAAGATGACGACTGCATTATCTTCAGGAATGAAGGAACAGTCACAGCAGCCAGGGAGTCAGTCTACCTACATCGGTATTACGCGGCGAAATCTTTTGCGCGTTTACCATTCAGCCCTCTATACACGTGGTCACTCGTTTAACTTCGGGAGCTTACGGACAAAGCCGAGTGTTGATGAAGAAATCAACGACTGCACAAGATTCTACAAGGATCTTTTTCCTGCAACACTGGTGACGTCACATCGCGGGAATCTGAAAGGAATCAAAATGCTGCATTTTGATTGGTCCATGAGAGACAACGCCCTGCGCAGAAGTCGGACATCGCTCACATGTCAGGAAGTTGTTTACAGATTGTAAACAACATTTCAACATGGGAGGAGGGCTCCATTTACAGTCCGTTTACAGTCCAGTTAGCAGGGTACAGCGTGATTTGACCGTCTTCACGGGATTTAGAGACCTTCCCTGTCAGCAGATTGAAGACTGTTTATCCGACGAATTGTAGCAACATACGTTGACGAAATTTGTTCGTGGCAGCCAGTCTACTATATATAGACTTCATAACGATGGCAGTCCCAGATCCGGAGGTTGCTTCGCTTCCTTTACGGACATGGCAAGGATTCCACAGAATTACAACGTCGTCTCAGAGGATCGTTGTCTAGATACAAGCCATCGTATCTCAAGCAGTACTCTCTCCATTACCATTACGAAGTTGGCAGAGCCTACTCAGTCTTCTCACGTCAGCCCAAGACATGACTCACAGAGGAAGACTACAATTGCGCCCACTTTAGGTGCGTGTACGCCCGTTTCAATAGTCTGGACTCCTTCGGACTACCGGACGGATTGAAACCATAAGTCTATGGTGGACTCGGAAGTCGAATATTTGCGGAGGAATCTACTTATCAGAGCGGAGTGCAACACTCATCTCTATGTACATGTATCACTTCAAGGCTGGGAAGCTCACCTCGACAACGAAGTGGCAGCAGGGAAATGGTCGAGTCAGGAGCAGTATGTATATCAACATGCTTGAGATGAAAGCAGTAGGACCATACTACACTGATCCAGCATACTAAGGAATGCACAACTGATGATCCACACGGACACAGTGGCATTCTACATCAACAAACAAGGATCAACAAGGTCCAGATATCTACTAGACCTCAGCTTTCATCTGTTCAGCATAATAGATGACTTGAACATCTAAGACCATGCCACTTTCTTGGAGCCAAGAATGTGATAGCAGACGCCCTATCTCATCCAACACAACCATCCCCGACGGAATAGACGATAGATTTCCGCTAATAGACCTGTTTGCAACAAAATTCAACAAACAGCTTCCAACATTCGTCTCTCCGATTCTTGATCCACAAGCATGGGCAACAGATGCTCCAAGCATCTCCGGGGTAGGACTAAACGCTTAGGCGTTTCCTCCTCCAGCTCTAATACCACAAGTGTTGCAGAAAATCAAGCAGACGAGGAAGCTGCAACTGATTTGATCGCGCCTTACTGGCCAGCGACAATATGGGTTCCTATTCTCACACAAGAATTTGGAAGTCCAAAACTGCAACTCGCAGATTGGCCGAACCTACTGATACATCCGCACACCAAGCAAGCACACGGGAACCCCACAGTGTGCCAGCTACACACATTGAGTGTATCAAAACTTGCTTGACGAAAGAAGAATGCTCCGCCAGAGCAGCTAAAGCAGTTACACTAGCTTTACGCAAATCTACCCGCACCTTGTATAACGACAAGTGGCAGAGTTTTGAGAAATACGCCTTGAGAAAAGGCTTCACAGCAATGAAAGTAACTCATCCTCAAGTGGCGGAATATCTTTGTCATCTCAGACAAATAATACAATTAAAAGGTTCAACACTATCTACATACCTAGCGGCCCTCAGCTCAGTAATCACCAGGAAGTCAGGTGTTAAACTGACTAAAGTACCAGAAATACTGGCCTTACTACGATCCTTCAATTTGGAAGGTCAACAAAGGAAGTTTAAAGCGCTGGCTTGGGATCTTAACGTAGTTCTACAGCTTCTCACCAGTGATGCTTATGAACCACTAGACAGGACATCCTATGAGTTTCTAACACAGAAAACTCTCTTCCTGATCGCTTGGCAACAGCAGCACGGATGTCAGATATACATGCTCTAGACTTTGAACGTATACGTTTGATGCACATCACAACATCGTTCATCTGGGATTGAGATGGGACTTCATAGCTAAGAATCAACTGCCAGGTCAACCCGACAGACAGTCCCACGTCCCAGCATTATCATCAATCCCTGGGCCACAGGATATCCAGGACCTATCCTTATGCCCAGTCAGAGCACTGAAAATCTTTTTACAAAGATCTAAAAACAGGAGACGAAAATTCAAACGCCTTTTCATCCCCATATCGTCGGAGACACCCACAGAGATCTCACGTACTTCGATATCAGTTTGGATGAGAGCAATCATACTACGAGCCTACAAGGCAGCAGGACTTGAGCCTCCTCGAGCCTCCAATCCGCACGAAGTTAGAGCACTGGCATCTACTCTCGCTCTACATGGAAACTGCTCAATATCCACGATCATGGAAGGGTGTTTTGGGAAATCGGAGACAGTATTTGCTAACCACTACCTCAGAGACATTGCTACTTTTACCGCATGTCATGCAAAGCTCGTACTCCCAAGGAATAGAGCTTATAGTCCATGTACACGTCTAGAACAGACTAGCATGAATATTGGACCCTGTACTTGTAAGGAATTACTGGTACACGGATTGGGTCACTACTCCACTTGATATGACCATCAAGAGTTGGAATTATTTAAATCCACATGTACGATTACAGAAGAGTTTGATATATTGTGGTCCCCCCAAATTACCAAATTATTTCGACATATGGATCAACAGCAGCAATGCCATTTAAAGTTCCCATGGGGGTATATAGGACGTAAATTCAACACTAAGGACTCCAGAGGTGGCTTGACCCACCACCTATACCGTCGGATTCTACAAGCAATAAGCATGAGTCAGGATAAGGAAAAATATGTAATTTTCTGACTAAAATTGATATTTTATACTTATCCTGACCCATGAGGTAAGCCCTCCCAACTTCCCCTCAAGGCACTCTGGATTTCCCAGTAAATCAGTGTGTCGGGCTATAAAATACGGAGAGAGTGAAGAGCATGGGAGACAGGTGGCGCCGTTTCCCGCCAAAACCTGGGAAGCTTCAAAAGGGGATTCAAGTGTTCCACTAGCATTTGGAAGGAAAGGGAGACAAGCAATAAGCATGAGTCAGGATAAGTATAAAATATCAATTTTAGTCAGAAAATTACATTTACTGATTTTCATCCACAGTCATCATTCATCATGTCAGTAGAATAATGTAAACCTAAACATCCAGGCTAGAATTGGTCTTCGGTAACAAATATTTGTCACAAGAGGCAACTAATGGAATTGGGTGGTCAGGCTCACTGACTTGTTTGATACATGTCATTGTATTTCATTTGAGGAGATCAATGTTCATGATGTTAATCACAGGATTGTCTGTTCCAGACTTGATTAGCTACATACTGCTGTCATATAGCAAGAATATGTGGCGTTACACAATAAACATGACTCTTCAAGTTTGTACACAGATCATTCATTTATGATGTGCGGGGGCACTATCAAATTCTGATATATCTCTCTCTCCCTCACATGCACGCAGGCAAGCACGCACGCACACATGTACACTCGCACTCATATTCCCCGTGAACTCTCACCACTCTTCATCAGTGAATGACCATGTAAATGGAACTGTGATCTGTCATGTATTAATGCCCCTCCTATAGGTTTTGGATAACGACCCCAATTCCCTTTCTTTCCTGTTTTCATATTTTCATGACACACACACATTGTTCTCTTATTTGGAACTCTTTTCCATGTTTTAGGTCAAACTATGCTCGACTCTACCTACGACATTTCAATGAGGTGGACCATGCCTTTATTGCCAGGTGAGGAATTCTGTCATTGAGCCTCAAACCTCCAACATTTTAATTAGCCTGCATAATTACCAAATGCCTATTGGCGTAGCCAACCAACAAACTGGGTTTTGGACAAGCGGTGAGTAGTAGATATAATGACAGTCCGAGATCAAGTCCAACAAAAAGCCTCTGCAAAGCTTTATTTCACAAATAAAGCTTTTGTTAGGCCCTTAGATCTCGCCCCCAATTGTCTACTACTTTTGAACCCCCAGTTAACTTCCCGACCCCACGTGGTACAATAGTGTCGCACGTGGCACTACTGTGCCACTATGACCGCGATCCTGATCACATGGCACTATGTCGTGTGAAACAGTTTAATGTTTCGTACCCCTTGTCCTATGTATTTTTTTTTCTCGTCTTCACTGATAGCAGACTTACGAGACTTGAGCCGGATTTCTTGTTTCATCTTACGGTACTTGTCGAATCCTGATCTCGTCGTGTTTCAATGCCTTCCCGGTGCAGTCTGCGTGACACAAACTTAAACACCAATCCAGCCAACCCTGACACCCCAGCTGTTATTTCGATGCCTAGCACTGCGGGTGCGGCTATGATGGTGGCCAACAACCCCACACCTACTGTCCCTAACCCCATACTGGTAGCCATAAGGGCAGTATCAACCCCATCCACGACATTGAAAGCTCTATGGTACTTCTTATACAATGCTGCCTGTGTGTCGCGGTCTTGTTCTAGTTGGCATTTTATGTCACATAACTGTTTCAAGCGGAACCCGTCTATGGTTTCCAGTGGCTTCGGGACTTCCTCTGCGACTGGGTACAACCCCATTCTGTGTGCATATAATATATCTTATGAGATATTTTTTAATTGGGCTTCAGTTAATAGTCGATCAACGTACTTGAGGCTTATAAGGTATAGATCCTCATGCAGGGAAATAGGTGAGAGGTTAATAGGTAACTCTGCGTCCACACGAGCCCCATAGGAGGGTCTTATTGAGGGGGCTATAGAACCCGTTGAGGGGTCCGGTTGTATGATGATACGGTAACGTTGGTTATTGGTCCGGGGACTCCAGTGTACTGTCACCCCGGGTAAAAGTTGTTGCTCTTTACTAACAGAATGTCTAAGGAGATAGACTTCTATGATGAGTGTGGAGCCTGGTACCATAGCCGGAACCTCCTCGTACCAGTAGCGGTTAAACCTTAACTCACCCCCCTCGTATGCCTGTAACATATTGGGTAAAACCGGTCTTAGTATAATATTTGTATTAGGCCCCGGAATGAAACCCCCGGGCAAGGTACTGTTATTCCTAATTTCAGAGATACGCCTATATCCATTTAATGAGATATAAGGTGCGGTGAGGGTCATATTGAGCAACCATTCGGGTTCCTTTAAGCTTGCCAGAGCAATCGGCCTATACACGTGGCCGTCAAAGTGCAGGACGTACGAGGTGTCTTCCTCACCAGGCAGATCGAATCCCTCCGTGTCTCCTAGATCCCCGAGTGTAACGTTGGGCCGATGCCGATTGGACATTGCTATAACACTATTACGAGATAGTTTCCAATTGTTTTTCTGATAATAGTTCAGGGGTGCACTTCACCCCCATGAAGTGTATGTTGTCGGGTAGGAAGATCTTGGTGAGTGATATCGTGGCTTCCACGGTCACGGTGACCCCCTGCAGACTGGTGTGGGAGTCGACACCCACCCGAACGTAAACAGTGCAAACGTGATACTGGTGTTGTTTCCCCCAACGGAGTTTGATCCCCTTTACAATTTCGACTTCATCCGGCGATGGTTCCCCTAGGTAGACTTTGATGACCAGCGTGGAGTTCGCCGGTAGGCTCGCCAGGATGTTGACCACGCCAGCGAATTCAGATACCAACTGCAATGCTCCGTCTTGCACACCCGGTTTACTCGATAGCATGTGGGCTGCCATACTGGCGACTGGGCTGATGACAACGCTACGTCTCTGCACCGGGACGTAAGCTACGAGCAGGGTTCCGTTGTTCACGACTTTGTTTAGGTAGTTGTCTTTGTTCTCCGTGAACACGTAGGGGGAGCCAAGTCTAATGTTGAGAAACCAGTCGACTTTAGCGGGCAACAACACCCACTTGTCATCGTCGGTGAAGACGAGCGTATATGGTTTGTTTCGGACGACGGTCGTGCTATCAACGTCTTCTAAGTCGAACAGTTTGCCTCCGAACGATTGGGATACCGCCCATCTATCATCGCCAATACGGACTAGATCGAACCGAGTGTTGAGGGCCGCTCCTGAGACATCTACTATGTCACCTAGGGTTCTACCGATGGAGGGGACTTCAGCGCGTTTGTAAATGTTGTTTTTCAGTTGCAAGGCGTACAATTTACCATCTACTCCGGGGTCGTCAAATCCGCGTGTGTCCCCGAGGTCGGAGATCCCCGCATTGATGCATTTTTTCAACCTCATCCCGGGGCCTTGTGCGCTAGTCACTTTATGTGCAGCGTTATGCTGAGGTATCCTATATTCACGGGATTATGATTTATATCTAACACCGATATTATCAGCCCAGGGATGTTGCCCCGAGTTAACCTCTTATACTGGCGGTGAAAACGACTTCGGTTCTACCGTCGTTGTATTTCTCTCGTTTTCACCGGTACGGCTCTCAGTATCGTGGAAGGGTGACCCCTTGAATGTTGTCCGTTGTGCTCAGCTGGCGAGATGAATGCACAGCTCTCGGTACGGTACTAGGTCGGGTAACTTCGTGCCTGTGACGGTAGTTGTTGGTTTTATCTCGTCCGGCGCCATACCGAGTGTCCTCGCCAATGGCCGGCCGAGCCTCAAGGGGTTTATTCCGTTGTTGATTAACACCACTGTGCCGTTTGAGTCATTTATCTTGAGTTCGGCTCCCAAGGGTTTGAAGACCTCGTCGCTTAGCGAGCACACGCTGTAGTAGCCGTCAGTTATCTGGTTGCGGGCACCACTGACGAACAGCTTGTTGTTGTTGACGTTGATGTTAGTCCATCGCGATAGGTAGGTGATATCGCAGAGTGCGACTTCGAGTTGACCTGACGTGTTATCGATCGCGTGCATCAGCTGAATGGCCTCGCCGCTCGTTATTCCTGGAAGTGTTACGTACATGTTAGAGTATATATACCCATTATATAATACTTTAAAAATGGACAAACAAGGAGGAGCATCCTCCCAAGGAGTGTTTTACTCCCCTTGAGTGTTTTACCCTAAACTGGATATAGATTTCCCACACATGAAGATCGTGGTCGACGCTGCTGGGGTGTATTTCGGCGCCGCCCAGTTAATAGATGTATGTGCTAGGTATAGGTTTTCGGTGACTAACGTTAAGGTAGTCCACGCTTGGTTCAACAACCCGATGCAGTTCTGGCAGAATCAACTCAACTTCGCCGTGTGGTGCACTACAACGGAGTGTGGCTTGACATTAACCGACACTCAGCGGGGACCGCTGAGTCAGTCTGTGTTCACGTTCCACGTGTACTACCAGGTCAGACGTATCCTCAAAGAGATCATCGCTCCACTACCACAGGACAAAGCATGGGACGCAGTAAACAACCAGTACGATAGACGGGCCTACGAACGTATTTGCAACAAATTCAAGCTAGACCCGAAAACGGATTGGCGTTTGAGGGGACCGAACCATGGGTTCTGATTCATGAGACTGTCTGATGTTTCTTTAGCACATTGGGGTACGTCCCCGGCTGTACATGTTCAGCACTTAAGGGGTTGTTCGTGAATGTGGTGTCATCCTCCCACACACTATCATCCCACATATCATCCATCGGGATGTACTCATGACCGCCTTCAGCCATTATTTATATTAAACTTTTATATTTTATCTATATAACAATGTATGGTAGGAAACTAGATCCTTTCCGAGGATCAAGAGAGCCTCTAGGCGTCAGAGCCGTGCGCCAGTCGGTGACCATCACCAACAATCCCAGCAAGATAGACCAGAACCAAACGCTGCTGGTTAGATTCCCAAACCTGGGTGAGAATGACCTTATCGTACCAGGCACGGTTCGACTGACGTTCAACCTCACGTTGACCTCCGACAACGACAAACGCGAGTTAGTGTGGAACGTAGGTCGAGCCATCATCAAGAAAACCACCATCAAGATCAGCGGTAACGAGGTGCTGAGCATCGGCGACAGCGGCGTGTTTCACTGCTACGGGACCTCTGAAAAGCGAGGGAGAGCGTCAATGACGTGTACCAAGGTATCAGCAAATCGACTTCGGTTTGCGGCGTGGGAAGTACGGCTTCACGGCAGACCAGTTAGACAAGATCTCGGACGGTGAAAAGGCCATCGCCCAAGCGTACGGGAACAGATTCTGCGTGCCGCTTGACTTCGAGTTGCTCACGGAACACGCGCCTTTTTACCAGGCCGCGCTGGGTGATAGGCTTGAATACGAGCTCACATTTAACAACTACAGCAAAGTAGTGCGTACGCCGAACGGTGATGAGGCCAGTTACACCATAGACAACATCTCTCTGGAGTTCGAAATGGTCACTAGCCCGGAGCTGGCAAGGCAGGTTCGAACCCAGTACTCGGGGAAGGTGGCCATCCTGTACGACCGCATACTGAGGCATAGATCGGTCGTGCGGGATAAGAGCGACACTGTGTGGAATATCAACCTGAACGTGCCGGCGCGATCGATGAAAGGTATCCTGGTCGTCCCCGTGGATGATTACGAGCCGTTCCAAAGGGACAGCGAGAAGTTTTTCAACCCCGAGATTGAAAAGGTGGAAGTGACCATAGAGGGCGTGCCCAACCAGCTGTTCAGTCATGGTATGAGGGCATACCAGCAGTGGGATGAGATAAAAAAGCTACCGGCTATCAAACAACACCCACACATAACCAAAGACCTGCACCTATCCTCCGTGCAGATTGGTGAATACCTGACCACCAAGCACACGCTATGGTTGGACATGCGATCCACGGACAACGATAAATTGCACGGCAGCGGTCGCCGCATCGACAACGGCAGCGAGGGGATAACAATCCAGATT